TGTTTAATAAAGTAACATTCAAAAATGCTTGCGGGAATATAATTATATTACAGTAAAGCAATGACAAATTAATACGGTAACCTTAACTGTATGCAGTCTTCTTTGTATATGTATATGACCTTGTGTCATCACTAGCTGCACGGACTGTCATGATCACCCTGTTGATTCCCTGTGTATTGAGTGCGTCAAATATGTTTTGTCGTTTCTATGTCGATGTGTCAAATGTGTTTTGTCGTTATGTGTGGCTGTATATTTCACATGTAAAACAATGGGTATGGACTTTGGAGTTTCATTTATGCAATACATGTATGTTGTTAAAATCACATTTGTAAAACAAATCACTGAGCGAGAAAGGGGGTCCAACCCCACCCCCTGAATCCGCCACTGACACATTAAACGCAATTCACTTTTAAAAGTATATGATTAATTATATTAATTCTAAGTTCCACATAAATTTAAGGTAAAATAATTAAAACACTGTTATTTTTTCACGCAATTAAGTTCAACTTCGTAATAAAGCCACTACAGGCGTGTACAAGTACATAAATGTTGTTTTCTAGTACATGTATTTTATTCAACATACAATGGAATTTTTGGTAGTTGATAGTGCCCCCCCCCCCCCAAAAAAAAAAAACTGAAATTGCTTTCTACGGGCCTGACAGTTGTTGAAACTCAGTGGCCTATATGTTATGTCATTTTAGGATAATTTATTAATGACACTTCTTAGCTGACTTTTTAAAGATTGATTATCTCTGACGTTTTGTCAGTGAATACTTTAAAATTTTTGTTGGGGAGCGAGAAAATTTCCTTCCCCCTCCTTAACGCCACTTCTTTTTATATTTATGTACGTGTGTGTGTTTGAATGGCTCTATTATTTTACACTTTGAACACAGAATTGATGGTTTATTGTAAATAAGATTGGCTTATCTCTCAAATCATGTTCTGAAGTATGGTTCCCATTATTTTTGCGCCTGTCATATAAACAAAGTCAGCGGACATTAAATTTTTGTTGGCTTTTCAAAGAATTTAGAATTTCTAACATGTTTGCTCCTCCTTCCCCCCTCACCCCGGTTACTTTTCATAACTTTATTTCTTCCTTCAGACTTACATGTAGAATTGAATTCATATTTCAAGCATTACACGATTTACAAACTTTATCTCTATAATGTTACATAGCTTGAGGAAGGCGCTTAATATGTGCGACAGAGGCAACCTTGTAACAATTTTTTAAGCCCACAATTTGCATGGCTCTATCTTTTGATTGAATGGCTCTATTGAATTATTTTTTCTTTTCACAGAATCATGGCTATAGGGCGTGTAATAAGGTGAACATTTACTCAAATTACACTGATGGCCAAACGGTAAATCATTTAACACTAGTACTACACGTTATCCATTCAAAAGCGTTAATTGTAAATCTATGGTTAGTAGAGTAGAACCATACAGCAAATATAGGTTTATAACAGTACGCATTGGAATAAAACACCAAACGAACATTAAATATAACATACCGGGTAATGCGTAGAACAACGAGGGAGTCATGATGCAAGTGCATTTTTGCTAACATTCAACGCAAAGACACGATGTCTAAGCAGGACAAAAATTATGAAAATAGAGAATTTAAGTAAACTGAATGTATTCAAGGGAAAGGGGTAGTAAATGTCAAACCCTTATTGCATACTTAGTCAAATAAAGAATATTTTATAGACCTCTTCTCTGCATGTGGATACTAGTATTTTAAAGCATCAGCCACATAATTTTTTCATTACGGTACAACAAAAAATATCCAACTGGGATTTCAAGCTGACATATCATGTTCCTTGCATGCTTGTAAGCACATAAATATTATTCAATCATATAAAATTAAATGTGCAAAGAAATAACGCAATAATCAAATTGTGAACTGGGAAGCAGTAATATCTGTTGTGTGAAGTTATCGCCCTTATAAATATAAATTACATTCATTTCTTTGCAAAAATAAACTATTCTGCGAAATCAAATTTTAGGTAACAAGATCAAGAATAAACATTTTATATATTTTTTTAAATAACGACAAGGATTTTCTCCTAACTGTAGAATAAGTATTTTTTCCAGTATTTTTTATTGTAAACAATTATGAAACATCTATGTATTATGAATATATGTAGTTTATTTTAAAGGAATAAAGTTAATGAGACGATAAACAAATAAATAAAGAGAGAATTAGAGAGTGGGGAAAATGGGAGACAGTGGTGAGGGAAATAATAGGGAGAGAGGGAGAGAGAGTGGGGAGTGACAGAGAGAGAGAAAGAGTGAGGAGAGAGGGAGTGGAGGGAGAGGGTAGGGAGTGGGGAGAGAGAGAGGCAGTGGAGGGAGAAAGAGGGAATGGGTAGTGAGAGGGTGGGGAGAGAGGGAGTGGAGGGAGAAAGAGGGAATGGGTAGTGGGAGGGAGAGAGTGAGGCGTGGGGAAATAGGGAGAGAGAGAGGGTAGGGAGTGGGGAGTGACAGAGAGAGAGTGAAGGTAGAGGGAGAGAGAGGGGGAGTGACAGAGGGAATGGGTAGTGAGGTGGGGAGAGAAGGAGTGGGAAGTGAGAGGGGATGTAGTGGGGAGTGAGAGAGAGTGGGAGGGAAAGGGGGAGTGAGAGAGATTGGGGAGGGAAATTATATTATTATATTTGCACCATTGCGGATATCGTATTGTAGCCCTCTCCTGAAAATATCAGATTAAAAATATCGGAGAGGCCTACATTATTCCAGCTACATGTGTATTTCAATATATGATCATTAGAGTCCCACTCTTATTTCAGAACCCCTGACCTGGGACCGAATTTTTTTTAATTTAGGAAAAGGCACCTTCGCTTATTATTACCAAGCATTTATTTATCGTTTAAGGTAGGTCGCGGGTTTGCTTTTGTCATCAATTTCGGTACACAATTTTGACGATTCGAGCGGTTCTTTAATGCACATTTGATTATGACGTCAATTACCTCACAAAGGCGACGTTGCATTGCTTCCCGTTTATTTCTCTGAAAATTACTTTAGCAATAGAATCTAGTCCGTACGAAGTGGAGAAAATACGTGTTATTGTCCGTTATTGTATTGTCGTAAATGTATGAACCCAGAGTATTATAAGTTTGAATTCTGCTCTGATTATATACATGTGTAATGTATAAGAACAAACTTATAAAACATAATAAATGCGATGCAAAATGCATGGAATAATTTATATTGAAAATATAATAAACTACTAAAGGTCAATCAAAATGATTCAGTGTTAATTTAAAGATATGGCATGCAAAATGAAAGTAACCGTAAATTGCTAAGCCGAAAAATTGAAAGGTTGTATGTATGCACGTAAATTTGCAAAGAAGGGAAGGTGCGTAATGCACCATGTTTGCTCATCACAGCCAAAAAAAAAATGTCACATTACGTTTAATATATGACGTTTTAGTCATAAATAACGCCATAAACGCAATATTTTGGCAATATAAAAGCAAACTTTAAAATTATTTAGCAAAAAAACTAGCGAGAAGACATATTGATTTTTTTACCTCAATAGTTTTAATTTTACCTCATCTTGATATTTTGAAATTTCTGAGTAATTCGTCTACGTCTTTAAAAAATTATTCGACCTTTTCTAAGAAACTCTTTCGGTAAAATTGTTTTAAAAACGTCATTTTCCTATATATTTCTATAGTAAAGCGTAAAAATAGTACCGAAAACTATACCGCGTTTAAAGTAATATATAGCATTAAAACCATGTAGGCAAATTTAATAAAACTTTCAGATAATATGCCGCAATTTCTAAGGAACATTATATCAAATTTTCAGAACATGTTTTCTCGTAAGAATTTTTATGCAGTAAACCCGCGACCTACCTTAAATATACAGGGAGAGGGGACTTTTTCACTGTATGATCATTACAGTCCTGCTCTTACTTCAGAACCTCTGGGACCGTGAATTTCACAATTTTGGTAGAGGGCTTAATGCTTGAAGACCAGGATTAAAGAGGATATCTTTTTAAATAGCACTAATTTTGATGGTTTTAGACTGTCCCCTCATGCCCTTCTTCCCTATATGTTTTAGAAGATGTTTTATACTTTATTCATAGAAAATCAAAATATTTACGAGATCGAATTTTCTTACGTGAATGCTCTACCATTTGTGTTAATATTTAGTATGAACTACACGAACCGATGTGTTTACTATTGAATCGAACCGATGTGTTTACTATAGAATTGAATGTCCTTCCAAAATTTCAAGAATACCGATCCCTATCCAGTTTTATTAATGATGAAAATTTACAAATTTATTTCTTAAAAAAAAAAAGATTTAAGAACAGTAAACTATCATTAACGTATCAGGTCGTATTATTCTTTGGTAATCCCTAGCTTTGTACGTAATTCTTACTAGCTTTCATTTGTTTAACAGCGTTTTCAGACATATTAGAAGTGCAATATAAAAACAACACAAGTTAACCGCAAAAAGGAATATTCCTGCTGATTATAAAAATATAGAAACACCTTTAACATTTTAATTGTACACTATTTTTGTAAAAGCGGTTAAAAATGTGTCATCTTAATTTATTGTATTTTTTTGTTTGTTTTATTTTCCAAGATTAAAAATCTCATAAAATTGTTAAATCATACTTTAATCAGATCAATAGGAAATTATCTCCTTTGCGCTGAACAGCATTTCAACCAATGAAATTTTTCACATCATGCATTTTCTACTCATCACAAAATAGAGGAAGTGCAAAATCCAAAGAATGTAAAAAATACTTTACCTCTGTAACCATCTTTCAAGAAAGATAATAATAAATTTCCTCATATTTATCTATCTTTCACTTCTGTGGTTCAAAAATTAGTTTATGACAGAAATATACAGAATGATAGATTTTTAGACAGGACAAAAACAATATGTCCTCCGATCTTGGGACAAGAGAGAAATAAGACCCGATAGAGTAATGGGGAATAATGTTTAATATATGTAATGCTGATATTGACAGTGAATTGTAAATGTTAATAATCCCATGGCCAGAGCTGTGTGTTGTCACAAACAAACGTAATAGGAGGAATTAAATCTACGTCTTGAGAATTTATCAAATTACTGATTTTCCAGTTACTAGACAGCGCATCTCGGTAAGAAAGCCGGAACATTTTAGGCAAGGCAGCTGATACCTTAAAAACTGCTGAACAGGACTTGTAAACTGTTTTTCCTTCCAGTGATTTCGTACAGAGAGCTCGACAAGGCCGTCCACAGGAGTCGTACGCAGTAAATAAAACCTCTCCTCCGCCATAATCAGGGTTCTTTATCCCAATGGCGGTATCCATTACAGAAAAAGGTTGTCTTTCGTCTAGGATGACGAATTCTTTATATGTTCCAACGTAGTTTAAACCATTAGAGGTAACAAACACTTTAAACGCTCCTGAATTCACACCATGGCAAGAACTCTGTAAGGCTTTAAGTGCAATGTTAGGATGGAGAGTAGGGTCGTTACCATCGATGTTTAAAGATCTATTGTAGAAAACACGGACTGGTACATAGACCCAGCGTTTAAGATCTACTACTCCATCGATCATAAAAGTATTTGTAAACGATCGTTGGAGGGCAGAGACTGTTCGTAAACTGTCATCAAGGGATGTATTGTTCTGATGTTTCTGAGATACATCACGCCGTCTTCTTGTCGTTCCAGCTCTTGCTTGAACACTTGCAGCGAGAAGTTGAGGTGAAGCTGGAACACTTCCGATTGTATCGGGACGATTACGGCTATCTGTAAACGGTGAAGATCGAAATCTTGCACCTCCAGGTATAGGTCCACGGGCCTGAGCACGGACACGCGATTCTGTTGGAACATCTTGACTTGCAGGAGCTTGGCCTGGCTGACTGGCCATACCAAAGCCGCCTCCTGCAGGCATCATCGACGTCGGACGAGCACGGGACACGCAAACAAATCTTACTTGGTCACAGAACAAATGGGGACTACGATTGCATCGATTTTGACAAGTTGGTAAGGGCTCGTATCTTACCAAATTTGCTATAAATCTAGATAAACCTTCAATATTTCTCAGTGGTTGAGCGTAGGGCCTGAAATCTATTAAGTCATTGGCAGCATGTCCAGGAGGGGTCATGGTTGGATAATCCATAATCGGATTAATTCCAGAACGAAGTTGTTGTTGTCTGAATATTTCATAAACGTGGTCAATAAATGCATGATGATTGAAAAATATTGGATCATACGCAGCAGTGTTGGTGAGTGATAAATGCCCTCCTACCCACACATGAGGACCATTATGATGGCCTTCCAAGCTGAAAACGTACTCCGCACCTTGTTTTGGTTCCACTATTTCCTCGTATCTTCGACGACTCAACACAGCAGCGAGACCTTCTTTAGTAAAGAGAGAACTGTCACCTAAAAAGAACATTGATTTTGAAATTGAACACGAAAATTGTCTTTAAAAATAGTCTTTACTACACCTTTATCTTACATGCTATATGTAGAGTTTATTAAACATAAACTTATTTTTAATTAAGGGGACGAAGGACACATGGTCACATGACTCAGTTTAACTACGTCATAGTCTCCGATACTTTAAGTTCAAAACCTGATTTAAACCATCAGTACATGTATAATTTTCAAACAATTTGTTTTACTTCAACGTCTTATATAAAAATATCTAAATAAAATTAATTTTTTTGTAAATATTAATCAATTACGGAATATATTGATCCAACCTTCTGTTTCCCTACACTGTGCGTCCAACAAGTCGGTGACGTCATACACGATCTCTTAGTACAGCAAGATCATATTCGATGAATACACTGGCAGTATTATTATGTAAAAACAGGTCATAATCAGTATATGATGATTTATTTTGAGAAAGGGGAACTCAAAAATAATTTTTGCCAGGCTGATGACAGAAATCTTATGTAGATGTATCTTATTTTGCTTATTCAGCTTACGTGTGACGTCATAGTTGGTTTTTCCCGTACTCAAGAAATGTAAACATGACACGTTTTTGTCATGCTTTTGTCTTGTTTAAGGATGTCCTGTGCAATATTGAGGTCAGCTTCACCATTCGATATTTTTACAGTTAATCAATAAAATGAAGGACTTGCATTTCAACGTAAATTTTTAAATATTGAATGATATAATTTTTTGCAAATGAAGTTTTTTGTTGAAGAAGTTGTCTTAAAAAGTATGTAATTTTCCATACCCAGATGCAGTTTTACAGAAGAAACTTGTTTTTTTTTTTCGAATTTAAACCCTATCGATACTCTGAAATATTTTAAAAGATACATGACCACTGACATATTTTTTGTCTATGCTTAAAAAATCCCATCATGGACAAAGTAATGGGCCCGGAATCATGATAAATCAAAACTCCACTTAGACACTGTAGGGCATTGCATGTATTTGTCTATCAATATCTTCAAAACAAGGTAAGAAACCTAATGATAAAACTGCTTTAAGATATGTGGGACATGCTAAATTAGAAATAAACAAAATATGAAAAATATTAAATGACAAGAATTTTTTTCAGCCCAAGGTCCTTCTTCCCCTCAAATAAAAATTATTCCAAATTTGACAGAATGTATCAGATTCTCTTCGAAATCCTTTCAGTGAGGGCTTGTGCAGAAAATGCAATACATAAGTATAAAAATAAAGATAAATAAGATAAGGCCAAACAAAAAAATATGCTTGTTTACTGTTACATGCTGAAATAAAATAGGGTTGGTAGGTAGGAATTTTTTTTTATTTTATTGAATTTTTTTATTTACAAATTCAAATGAATTCGTTGAAGTAAAAAACAGTTTCACCATTGTGTGATGCTTTACTTTTGTTTGGGCTTGCCATATGGGCGATAGACAATATCTTTCTTGCCAACTGCCTTACAGCTACCATACAAGTCAATGGTTAAACTGTTTTGTATTTCTTCTTTAATTCTATGTTGCATTGACTAACGTAGTGTTTTCCCCAGAAAAACTTTAATGCATGGGGGGAATTTTGCTGAATTGACGGCGTGCGGCGTGTCTCGGTTGAGTTACTTGTACATGTATCTGAATCTAGATTTCAGTGAAAAATACAAATGCATTACTAGAATTCATTTATAAATTTTTAAAAATTTAAATGATAAATACATTTTGAATAATTTGTCAATTTAACTTAAGAAAAAATAAACAATTGAATTCTTTTTTATAAAAATAGATCTAATTGTCATTTTTTTTGGGGGGGGGGGGTATTTTATTCTCCTCTAAAGCCACTGTCTTTTTATGTGTTGTGTTATTCTTGCTTTTTACAAACTGAATAGGCCCCTAGTGACCCCCCCTTTTTTTTTTAAATTTACTTCATTTTCTGGCTGTCCCTACTTTTACAGTCATTTTTAAACAAAAAAGGATGCACACTATGTAGCACCAATGCTTACATGTAAATATTGCGACAACATGTTTACATTGGTGTCTGAATTTTTTTTTTCAACGTAAGCTGTTGAATGTAAGTCATTGTGTATTTTTTATATGTTTAGATTAACTGAAATTAAAAAGATCTTTCTATTTGTTTTATTACTTTATATAAAGATAGAACTTTCCTGTAAATTACACAATTTAAGTCAATCACGTTTCAAAGATATTAAAATTTAAAAAATGACAGATTTATTTACTGCATTTAAATAACAGAGAGTTTAAAGTCAGTATAACTATAGAAACATGAGATTATTCAAGTTCAAAATTGGTGAAAAATCTTGATTTGAACGTAAATAACATATACCATGTTTATCTACACTCAATCTCGTATTTATATTTTTTAGCTCAGATACGCCAAATATAACTTTAAAGCACGTGCGCTTGACCGAAGTACTAGCCCATAGTTCATAGAGTAAATAAACAATGATAATGTTTATAGGACATGTTTATATTAGGCATAACTATATTTATGCTAAACATGGCTTAAAAATTATATGTTTATCCTTTTTGATGTCGGAACATAAATGCTATTTTTAGAATGACCTGGAGATGTTGGAAAAAAACCCACGTGCATTCACAAGTGTATTACTTTCATGGTGTGTATTATCTTACAGCAATTAATTATTTTTTCATGATTAATCAAATAAAAACTTAATGATTAGTAACATAACCAGTAAATTGCAATAAACATAAATTGACAGCTACATGTATTGCATCAATTACCCCGTATCGAGTTCACCACAGGTTTGTAGGATTCTAGTGATTTGAATTGTTTTATTTATAGATTGACAACTGATTAACATTCAAAGTAAATAATCTTCTTTAAAAAATGTATACCATTAATAATTCATGCATAGCGGGAAGCATAGCGGCAATGTTTGATGCATGGCGGGAGATCTTGAATGCATGGCAGTACCTCCAAGCAAAAACGGCCTGGGAAAAACACATTTGTAATAATAATTTAATCGAAAGTACTAGAAATAGTCTATTTCTAGTACTTTCAATTTTAAACCGTTGACCGATTAAGACGCATGTAAAAGTTAAACTGACCGGTGAGTGACTTCTGGATTTTTACGATGAAAAAACATTGGGGTCGGCGATTAAATATAGGGTCGGTAGGGTAACCGTAAACAAACATAGTTTTTTATTACGCCTAAAGATGCGTCTATTAATTATTTACTAATCAAGTGTCAAATCGATGAATTAAATACAGTAAGGAACTTAAAGATATTTTTTCATGCGGAAAAGGGAATTTAAAAGTTATTATCTTCATCTTTGGACTCGTACAACTTAATGCCTCCACTGTGCCACGAATTTTGATGTAGATAAATATAAATGTAAAATCCAGTTAATAAATGTTAAGAGAGTAGAATTTTGAATATTTTTTTATGTGTTAGTTTTCATAATTAAAGTATTTGCAAGCAAAAGATGAAAAGGGCCCCTGGTCATTTATCATATATTGAATTTGTTATGAGCTATTTCCACTTCATAAGTACAGTGTAAAACTATCAAAATCAATTTAAAACAAGTAAAAAGGAAATGATTTTAATGCAAAAGTTTAAAGATATTTTTTACTTTTCTGTTAATAAAGGAAAACTAAAATTAAGTTATTGAACTGTTGCTTTTCAACAAGAACAGTGATGGTCATGAAGGTCATGAAAACTATCTTTAAAAAAAAAATGATTTCTAGACCAAACAGAAAAAAATACTTCCATTTCCTTTCGTTGTAAAGGCATTCTCACGTACCTACAGGTAGCACCTTCAATTTATTACCTAGCACCTCCAACGTATTACCTAGCACCTCCAGTTACCTATGTACGTGTTGTCATGAATTGTGAATCATTCAGTGATTCTATTTTTTTTTTTGTAATTTGTACGTCTATACTGTTTCTTGGGAGACGTATCTGTTTTGAAATTTTATCCCAAAGATTTTTGGGTATTACAAATCTATAGACACATATATTTACCTGTCCCTATATTTCGTATAATTGAATCCCCAAGAATTGTTCTTAAGCTTTGGAACGGCCCAGTCATGACTTCACCATCGCCGTTTCCAAAGAACATATCACTCCATATCATTGATCTGGTGGGGTCCATCATATCGTGATCTACTGTGGAATCCCAATAGGGGATGGGGGTACCACAAGCCGTTTCCAAGCTAAAAATAACCAATGAATATGATTATGAATATGACTGTCAAGTCTCATAATGAGAGAGAGAGAGAGAGCATGTATTACTAATTTGTAAATAATAAAGTTACGAATCGTACAAACACGATTTCATTCGCGATTCATAAAGCTATATCAAAAATACGTCGTATATAAAGAAAGATATATAGATGGGCGTACAGAAGCAGGTAAATTCTGTGCCAAGGAATGAAGGCGGGGCCTCCATGGGCAGTGGCCAATACTTGTCCAGAGTGAAGAACGGCCAATGTCTGATATGTATTACGTCCTGATTGTGGAGGTTCCACGGCCTGAAAGTTAATTAAATTTATTATATTTCTTGTTCGTGTCTCTTTTATTGCTATTATTATTGATAGCAGGGAAGCGCTCCACTGACCATATTTTATGATGACAAAATATGAAAAATAAAATGAAAAATACATTTGCTATGTTTTTCTTTTTGTGTTTGCATGGTTATTCGTGTATCTTAATAAGTAAAATGAAGTCAATTCAAAAGAAGTTGCATGTTATTATACTGAAAAAAAGTTTTGTTTTTCTTTCGTGTTAACACAAATTTTTTCGGGACCTTTTTCATTGTACGCACACAAACTAATTTTCCGTTAAATTGTAAATTTTATTTATATAATTATATACACTGCACATGTATATATCTTTAATTTAAAAAATCTTTTATGGCAGAGAATGGACTACGGTACATTGTTTTAGGACATAGATGTGGGAGTCATTTTTCAGTTGGTGAATATTTAAACCTTTGAACTATTTAATACATTCGTTTTGCCATACATCAAGCAAACTGCAATTTAGCAAAAGAATATTCTTTCTGTAAAAAAACAAGACAAAAAAAAAAAACGAACTCAAAAAGAAATTCTAGTCAACAAGAAGTGTTACAAGGTGTACACGGTGATTGACAAGGAAAGTAAATCGAGTCGACCGACAAATAATGAATAATTAATTAGGAGATCTACATGAAAACAAGAAAACAAAACACCAAAAAGGGAGCAATAACTGTTCGTAATTATTATCCATCAAAGGTTCCAACTGACAAGGCCATAAAATTTGAATAATGTGCGACTTTTCTACAAGAATATTTATTTCCCCCAATTGGCATTTTGTTAGAATTTTGCTTTAAAGGAAAACAGAACTACGTGGAATAGATATAGATATAGATATAGATATATATGAGAAGAAGAGGAATATTTGAATATTGTTAAATGCACATTTTGAAAGAAAATTAAAATGTCATAGTAATTTATAATTGTGAAGGTAAAAAAATTAAATTGGAAAAGGAACACAAAGTAGATTTTAAATGTTCCTTTTTTCCCCTAAAAGCTGTTAAAAATTTTAGGGATGGCAATCGAATACAGAATTGCAAATCGGTTAACCGCATGACGTCCCGACCGATTAACCGGTTAACAGTATCAAAATATGCATTTTCTTGATATACCCCCCCCCCAAGTATCTCTATTCATAGTATACACAAGAAGAAGACTAACAAAGTCACTAGAAGTTAAATCATTCTATTTGTCTCGAGTCTTGATAAGAAAACTACATGCATATATATTTTATTTCAGTTTCAATAGACAAGTAAAAATAAAAGAAAAACACGAATCATGTCTGAGAAATCAGATATATCCAGAGCAGATGTCACATAAGTTCATTCTGCATTGTCACCATAATTAAAACTAAGTCTGAACTACATGAATGAATATACAATGTTTGTTTAGTAATTTATTCGATAGACAACTGCAAAAGACAAACATATTAACGGGGATTTAATGTCATTAAAGAATAAGATGACAGTCGGGGTAACGACATGGTGTTTTAACAGTAATTACATATAACACCTCAAACACAAAAATGACCAATTACCCCACAATCTCAATCCGAAGAACCATAATTACATGCAAGTCAGCTTGGATATGTGAGAACGTTGAATTATCAAAGTTAATGCAGAGATTTCTCTTTTTCCGAAAATGAATTATAAGAAATTTGCGTTAAAATACACAAGTTATTATTTTTTTTTCGACTAACCGATTACAGATTTTCTAACCGATTGCCATCGTTCCGACCGAGTAATCGGTTAACCGGTTACAAATTGCCATCCCTAATAATTTTATATATTATGTATAGTGACCAATACCTTGAAGATCCAGAATTTAAATATCAGTCTTTTAATTTATTCTCACCTCTCTTTGAAGTCTAAGAATGCATCGAGCGTAACGCCTGAAGGCACCCCCAGGACTCCGTACTTCCTGTCTGTATCGTCCTGGAAATCGTGCCTGTCGTTTATGGCGCCTTGATTTCATACTATGTCTCGCAACATCTCGGGCCTCATTGAAGATTTGCCGGAATAATCCATGAATGTAGTTAACGCCTTCCTTGGTAATGTTTAGGGGAGACCAAATCTTACCATCAGCAATTTGTTTATATTGGTACTGTCGGTAACAATAATTTTGAATGTTTACCGCAACCTCATCAGATGGCGTCATATTGAATGAACGGAACTCATAACATTGCTTTAGAGCGTCTGGAAACGGAGCTGGGTCCAAGAGAGCTGAGGACAATTGCACAAGTTCCAGACATATAAAAATGATCCTTGTCTTCAACCAAACCTTCATCGTTTCCTTAAATCAAATTGTATAAGAATTTTTTTTGCCACTAACTGCTGGTACTATTGAAAAAAAAATTATGGTATACATGAAATTTGCAATACAGTTATGTAAAAATTTTTCGTTATAATTCTGAAACTCGTTATTAATATACTTATTGGTGAATAGAAAAGGATAATGTTTAATTTAAAGGTGCTTGGACATAGATTTGAAGTTAATATATTCTCCAATTTTCTGTATAATTTCATGACTTATATGTTGCTATAGCATTTCATTCTAAAATTTAATAAAAATCTTATTTCATTTCGAAGTTATTGAAACTTCAAATTTCTGGACGCGTTTGATTGACACATCCGTGCACTTTCATAAATTTTAATTTTATTCTTAATACTTAAGAAAAGTGGCAATATTGTTTTGTGTTAATGAAAAATATTAAAACTATGATCCAGAAAATTCAGAGTAGAAATGTTCGAAAGCAAAACCCACTCACAGTATTGTCAGTCCGTGCTCAGTGGTGTGTGCAGACTTTAACATTTGAACACACCCGGTGAATCGTAAATATTAACAACAACAGAGCTCGTGCCTTGTTTACAAAAACAGTTTACGTTTCACGGGTGTATTCAATTTGTTAAACTCTGTACAAAACACTGAGCACGGGCTGACGATATTAGTAAGGGGGTTTGCTTTCGCACATTTCTACTCTGAATTTTCTGGATTATAGATGTATTGTTTTTTATTAATACACAACAAAATCGCTTCTTTTCTTAAATATTAAGGATAAAGATAAAATTTGTGAAAGTGCAAGGATGTGTTAATCAAACGCGTCCAGGAATTCGTAGTTCCAATAATTTCCAGATAAAAAAAAGTTTTTAATTACATTTTCGTGTGAAATGCTATTGCAATATATACATGTGTGAGTCGTGATATTATACAGAAAATTTGAGAAAATATTAACTTCAAATCTGTGTCTAAGCACCTTTGAGGCATCGATATAAAATAGAATTATACAGCAGTTTCCAATATTTTTTAAATGCATATTAAGACAATGAGATGTCAAAATTGTTATCATTGCAATTAGTTTTTAAAACAACGAAGTAATATATATATAAAATGCGAAATGCTTGCTAAGGTTACATCGATTTCTCTATTCAAAGTTTTAAAATTATACATTAATTTTTTTATTAAAATATATTAAATATATATATTAAATGAACTCTGAAGGGAATGATTATATCTAAATACTAACCTGAGTGTATTAGTCTGCAAGTGTCCTCTAAACACGGTGAAAAGTTCACAGACATTTATATACGAACACAAAGACATTTTTTGGGGAAATTCCGAATAGAAAACAATTACGGACAGTGCTAGTAAAATTCAACAGATTAGCTTCATTACACATTTGAATAACACCAATTAATCAACAATGTCCATAGTGATTATTGACCTAGCTATAATAATAAAATATATACTTAGGGAAGAGATACTAATAGGTAAACTACTAAAAATGTACACATTAAAACATGACGTCACCGCAGGAAATATTGTACGCGTTCTTTTGAAATTGTGTATCATTTTGTTACGCATTTATATTGACGATTGGGTCTTTATAAAACTGAAAGACACTGCAATGACACCAATTGCCTTCTCTTTCATTCTTTTCGCTTTTAAAATGAAAATTTTATAAAACCTCTTTCTAGCAAAGGAATTGATTTTGTTATCTAAAATCATGTTGTCTTCGACAATGTTAAAATCAAGTTGTACCAGTACAAAATATTTTAATATGATATTCCCAAATAAAACATTGATAAGATAATTTAAAAAAGAAAAAAAAACTGTATTTCAGTTTGAAATTTGGTTTTTAAATTGAACTTTTCCTTCTAATAGCAATAAGATATACTTAAATACCCCGGGATATTCAGAGGTCATTTCAGATCGGGCTCAGGTACATTAAATTCAAAATATAAGAAAATTCTGTTGTGTAAATCTGACATACCGGTATTTAAAAAAGATAGTATATACATCTTTGTTTAAATAAATGTCAGCGTCATATCTGCACAATAAACTGCTTTAACAGAGTTACAAAAAAGGAAGAAACATAAGAAAATAATGTTGTGATGACATGCTAATAATGATAAATGTATGGTGAATAATAGGTGTGACACATGAAGATAAAATAAGATAAAATGTCTAACGCTTGCGAAATAACTTTCCCCGATTTATGTTTTACAAGCAATAATAAACATCGACTTTATGTACTCTTGCGTATTTATCTAAAAATAGCGAGATACCGACATGACGAGACACCGCATTTATTCCAACATGAAAAATGTGAATACAATTTATTTTGAGAAATATTTAATTTCAAATACTATCTGTGTTTTTTAAAAAGGTAATTAGTGGAAAACACACATATAATCATTATCAACATCCTATTTCGGATATATCAAATACATCTGCGAGTGTTGTCCGTATAGTTCTTGGACAGATGCTATAATTTTCATAATAATGACCACACTGCCAAATATATACGATATTATTTTGATATAGGCCATGAATTAGTAAATATATAAAAATTTAAACAAAGCACACTATTTTACAAAAGTTACCATTAGGTTAAATAGACTGTATATGCACAGCCCATTCTGACGCTATGTTAATTTATATGATAACGTCAAAAATATGGATTTTGAATTTTTATTATGATATATATTTTCTTTATAATGTCACACTCCTGAGTGTGTGCGATAATATTTACAGATCATAACTGAGTAAATTTTAAAATGTTAAAATAAATATACAGTAATTATGAGCGTGACTAGTATTTAAATACTTTGTATACACAGGCTGCAAAGTCATTCCAACGTTGCACTAGATTTATAACAACGTCACGAATAGGGATATCTACTTTTACCTAATAACAATAATTTTCTACTTCGTGTAGTGTCTCTCAAATTGTTATATACCAATTTCAAATCAATGAAAATATATTAATAATTTCAGTTCTTTGATTGATTAGTTTGTTTCTGATATTGTTTCAACCATTATAAAACATTATTATTGGACGCTGTTCCATTCGGATGGCCGACTTCGCTTTTTCTGTCAAATCTTGACACATTTCGCGAGTTTTTTCTTAATATTTTCACTGTCCAATGAACGAATCTATAGAAATCAGGAAATGACGATTACTGCTTTATTTGAGATATATTGAAGTTTTTATTAAGTTTTAGTTTTTTTTTTTTTTATAGGAAAATCATTTTAATCCGAACAATTTATTTCAAAGTTTATGACAATTTAACCATGGGCCGCGCGCACTATCTGCGACCTTTAAAGACCGCGAGTTTTACAAAAATATTAAGGAGGCTCATTACACCACTTTTTGATGACGTACTACACAAAAAATAAACCTCCATTGTTTGGTGCGTTTTCCTCTTGAGACGAATTGTACAGGCTCCCTTATAAATATGATCTATATCTTTAAAACGCTTTAAAAATAGACTAAACATGCGGTGTTGTAAACAGTGAAAAAAAGCAACGGATTCAATATGAATCATAAACGAAGGAGGATTGTTTTTAAGGTAGTTCGCGGGTTTACTGCGTAAAAAAAATCTTACGAGAAAACATAGCCTCAAAATTTGATATAATGTTCCTAAGAATTTGCTTAAGTATATAACAAAGAGAACAACAGTGAAATCTTCGCTAAACAAGTAATGTTCAATGTCACAGAGAAAGTGGCGAGCTCTAACAATGACAACATGTATGTACATGTATGGAGGAAATTCGAGTTGAAATCTAAAACCTTGTTGAAATAAATAATAATTGACTTGCGCTATTTACAGTACTCTCGTTGATTTATATACTTGTCTTTATTCTTTATTAATCTATACTCTAGAAATGTTATCCTTATTCTGAATGTACATGTTCCTTAGTGTTTTGAGTCTGGGGGAAATAGGAAACTCTATAGATACATGTAAATAGATAACTCTTGCAAGTGGACTTTTTAAACCAAATATTTTTTTTAATTGGAATTTTCATTTCGTTATTACATTCTTCATTCAATTTGTCAATGTTATTCATTGAAATACATTCTTTGTCTATTTATGTGATTTTCTTTATTACATGTATATTATTCAAGCACAGATTAAAAAAGAAAATGACTTCTTTTTTCTTTTTTAATCTGTGCTTGAAAATACGTACAACAACAGGTGAAACATTACTGTATTCTGGTCGAGAAGATGGACAACATCATGAAGGGGTTGCAGTTATTCTCAAAAAGGGAATTGAGAAGTCTTTAATGGAATGGAAGCCAATCAACAGTAGATTGCTAACGGTACGGCTTAGAGGAAAGCAAGTCAACATGACATTATTCCAGTGTTATGCACCCACTAACGATGCAGATGAAGAACATAAAAATGCTTTTTATGAACAACTACAGCAAGAACTAGACAACACACCAGACCACGATATTAAGATCATCATGGGTGATATGAATGCTAAAGTCGGAGCAGATAATGAACTATACAATAGGGCAATGGGACGACATGGTTGTGGAAGCATGAATGAAAATGGAGAGAGACTTGTAGAGTTTTGTACCACCAACAACTATGTAATTGGAGGAACACTATTCCCCCACCAAAACATTCATAAGTTAACCTGGCACTCTCCAAACATGAGAGATAGAAATCAAATTGACCACATCATGATAAATGGAAAATGGAGACGATCATTATTGGATGTGAGGGTGAAGAGAGGTGCCGATGTTGATAGCGATCACCACCTGGTAACAACAACTATCAAACTAAAACTGCGTAGCACAGAGAGAAAGAACATGGCAAGAAAGAAATTTGATGTGGATAAACTTAAAGACATCAAGGTACGACATGAATTCAACATCATGCTCAAGAATAAGTTCGATATATTACAAAATTTGGAACCAGAGGACAACATACATGTAACATCAATCGGCAAAAAGTGGGAAAAAATTAGCAACATCTACACTGAAACTGGTGAGAAATGTATTGGTTATAGGCAGAAGCATAGGAGTAAAGACTGGATAATGCCTAGAACGTGGAAAATGATTGACTCAAGAAGAGATGCCAAAAAGAAAGTAAATGAGGCCAAATCTCTGAGACTTAAAGAGAGACATCAAAGGGAATACAGTGAAATAGAGAAGGAAGTGAAAAAGGCTCTACGTGCAGACAAGAGAGCACACATAGATGACCTAGCAACAAAAGCAGAAGAGGCAGCCAACAGAGGAGAACAAGGAAACCTTTACAAAATAACCAAGGCACTGAGTGGCAGGAATAGACCATCTCCCAATCTACCTGTCAAGGACAAAACAGGAAAGTTGCTGTCATCAGAACAAGAGATGGAGGAACGATGGACAGAGCATTTTAAGGAAATCTTAAACAGACCACCTCCAACTCATAAACCTGACATCAGTTATCCAGCAAATGACCTAAATATAAGCATTGAACCTCCACAAATTCCAGAAATTGTCTCTGCAATACAAAGTCTAAAAAATGGAAAAGCCCCTGGATATGACAACTTAAATGCTGAATTGTTCCAAACAGATCCACTTCTTACAGCCACAATCTTACAGCCAATTTTCCATGACATCTGGGAAAGAAACACCATACCAGATGAATGGAACCATGGAGTCATCATTAAAATACCAAAGAAAGGCAACTTAAACGACTGCAACAATTGGCGAGGAATAACACTGCTTTCCATCCCAAGTAAGATCATGGCTAAAATCATCATCAGAAGGATATCCATAGCTGTAGATGTCAAACTGCGTAAAGAACAAGCAGGATTTAATCCAGGGCGAGGATGTATTGATCAAATATTTACACTAAGAAACATCATTGAACAGTGTACAGAATGGCAACGACAGTTATATATTAATTTTATTGATTTCGAAAAAGTCTTCGACAGCATTCATAGAGACAGTCTCTGGAAAATTGTGCGGTCATATGGCATCCCACAACATCTAATAGATGTCATCAAGAGTTTTTATGTCAACTTCAGATGCAGAGTTGGAAACACCAGCATCGAGTTTGACGTTAAAACAGGAGTCTGTCAAGGCTGTGTAATGTCATCAACACTATTCATCATAGCCATTGACTGGGTCATGAAGAATACTGGGTCATGAAGAATACAACATCTGACATTCAGAGAGGCATCAGATGGGGTACATTTACAACACTAGAAGACCTGGACTTTGCTGATGATATAGCCTTATTCTCCCACTCCCACCAGCACATTCAAGACAAAACCAGCAGGCTACACAAATATGCAGGAAGCATTGGACTGAAGATAAACACCAAAAAAACAGAGGTCATGACCCTAAATGTAAACAACCCACAAGCAGTCAAAGTGGAAAATCACATCCTTCCATGTACCAACACCTTTACATACTTGGGTAGTAAAGTAACAACAGATGGTGGAGCAGAGACCGACATCAAAGAGAGACTATCCAAGGCAAGAGCAGCTTTTAACAACCTACATACTGTTTGGAGATCAAGTCAGTACACAACAAGAACAAAGCTGAAACTATACAAAAGCTGCATTCTACCTATCCTTTTGTATTGATCAGAGTGTTGGAGAATGACAGAGAGCGACCTGAACAAGCTGTCAACATTTCAAACAAAGTCCCTGAGAAGGATCTTAAGAATATTTTGGCCCAATACCATCTCAAATCAAGACCTTCTTAACAGGTGCCAGCAAGAGGACATGGCCACAATCATCATCAGAAGACGCTGGAACTGGCTTGGCCATGTACTTAGAAGGGACTCGGACAGCATCATAAAGACAGCTCTCTTCTGGACACCAGAGGGAAAACGGAAGAGAGGTAGGCCCAAAGTCACTTGGCGGCGGACAGTGGAAGCCGAACTTAAAGAACAAAAGAGAAGCTGGGGCACACTCCAAAAGCTAGCCAGTGATAGACAAGGATGGAGAACCCTCGTTACTGCCCTATATGCCAAAGGCGTCACGGGCAGTAAGTAAGTAAGTAACAGATTAAAAAAGAAAATGACATTTATTGTTTATTTGGGGAAAACTATTTTTTCTAATAAAAATAATATTGAATATTATGAAATAATAGTCTGACTTCCCAAAGTCTGACTTCATATCATGACCTTCAGTTTCACTTGTTAAAACTTATTAACACAAGACCATTGTTTTGTTTAAAGACGAGTTGTGATAAATGAGTATTTGTATGTAGAATTTATTTTTATTATACAATATTTAGGTGAGGTGATACTCAAGATCTGAACAATTTTTTTTTTTGCATTACAATCAAAATACTTAATATTCCCATGGCCATATTTTATCATTTCCACATACGAAAACGAGTGTGGGAGAGGATTCGAGAGAACCGACATCCACTATATTGTGTTCTAAACCGTTAACAGTAAAGATATCTTTGTAAGTAAATTTGTACATTTTTGGAGTTGCAGTTGAGATCTTGAAGACTCCGGAACAAGGCTTGTACTTTTGTTTAGTTTGCCCAGGTGTCAAACAAAGGGGCCGACATGGCCGCCCACAGGAGTCGTACGCCGTAAATAAAACCTCTCCTTTGCCATAATCTGGGTTTTTGATACCCACAGCTGTTGTTGTGATGGAGATAGGCTGCCTTTCATCTATGATAGTAAAGTCCTTATAGTTTCCGAAATAGTTTAAACCACCGGAAGCTACATAAACCTTTGAGGCCCCTGAACTGACTCCTATGCAGTTCTCCTTCGGATTTTTTCGAGGACTCTTCGCACCAAGTGTGGGGTCAATGCCATCAGAGTTGGAGGATCTGCTATAGATAACGCGAACTGGCACATAAACCCATCTTGTAACATCCACTACTCCGTCAATAATAAAGGTGTTTGTATACGCACGTTCCAATGAAGACAGGGGTTGCACGTGTTCATTAAGGGATGTATTGGTGCCCTGTTCTTTGGATATATCCCTTCGCTTTCGTCTCCCTCCTGATCTGAGCTGGGCACTAAATGCCTGTAATTCAGGGGCTACAGGAGCGTTACCTATAGTATTTGGACGATTTCGTGTGTCTGTAAATGGAGACGAGCGAAATCTTCCTCCTCCACGAATTGGACCACGGGCTTGTGCTCGTAATCGAGAGACTGAGGGAGCATTCAAACTGGCTGCAAGTTGGCCTGGCTGGCTAGCAAAGCTAGCTGCGCCTCCGATTCCAAGTGGTAACATTGCTGTAGGGCGTGCTTGAGATACACATACTCCTCTGGTAGGATCACATGACATAAATGGACTAGAATTACAGTTGTTTTCACAGGTTGGGAAGGGTTCGTACCTTACAAGATTCGCTATGGTCTGAGACAACCCATTTATATTTCTTAGCTGGAAATTATAGGGTCGGAAATCCATTAAATCCATTGGTCCATGTCCAGGTGGAGTAATCGTAGCATAGTCTTGCTCTGGATTAATGTTGGACAGAACTTGTCGTCTTCTGAATTGTTCCCAAACTGCGTCTATAAATGCATGGTGCATGAAAAATACAGGATCAAACGCAGCTAGCTCTGGGGTCGGTAGATGACCTCCCACCCAATTGTGTGGGCCGTTGTGATGCCCCTCTAAGCTGAAAATGTATTCAGGACCAACTTTTGGTTCGACTATTTCTTGAAACCTAGTTCGACTCAATACACTTGCGAGGCCTTCTTTTGTAAAAAGAGAATTCTGCTGACCTGGATAAAAGGAGGGAAAATGTAAAGAAGCAAAATTATCGTGATTTACCCCTGCTGAAAAATTTAGATTCATTTGAAGTACATTGTAGATACATGTACCCTTTTTTAGTTTGAACGGAGTGGGGTTCAAGACAATATGAAAACGATTTTTTCAAAGATTACCTTGTGTCAGATAAAATTAGGATTTTTTATGATCAGTTAATTGTATTTAATTAAGTTAACCTGTTCCTATTTCTCTAGTAAGGAAATCTCCAGGAATAACTGTTTCAAAATTTTGGAAGGGACCTGTCATTACAGCACCATCACCATTTCCAAAGAATTGTTCGCTCCAGACTACAGACATAGTTGGGTCCTGCATATCATGGTCTACGGTCGAGTCCCAATACGGTACTGGGATACCATTACATGCGATCTCTAAACTAAAAAGTACTGCACATATTTTTTTTCTATCTACCTAAGAATTAATTTAATCTAGACATAAACTCTATATACTAGCAAATGTCACTTACGACAACGTTGTGTTAAGTTTTTCTTTTTTTAAATTTATTTATCATGAAGAAATAAATTGATAACCCACAGAGCAGATTTTCGAGTGAAACTAAATCTGTCAATTAAATTAACAAAAAATCTTTCAATAATTCCTTTCTTACATTAATAAGTAAATCCTATGCCAAGGCAGAAAGGCGGGTCCTCCATGGGCCGTTCCCAGTACAGGTCCAGTATGAATGGATGCTATGGCTTGATAGGCATTGAGTGGGGGCTGCATCTGTACTCTCTAAAATATATATAGCCCTTCACTTGTCTGAAATTTTGTTCTTAATACCACAGGACTTTGGAAAAAATTAAACTATGCTGGTATATCCAAAACAAGTATTTGAACTGCTTTCTTATTTCGAACAAAATTTGACGGAAAATATAATTTTAGCTGCTTAGTGAGTATTGAGTCCAAAAGTAGAGACATTTTCCACAAGTATTTAGCTTACAAATGCGTATTTTTTTTCTGAGATAATTTTCTTATGGTAATTATAATTACTCAATAAAATTAATGAATTTTGAAAACAGATGAATAAAAAAAATAAATTGTTTTCAGTTCAATTAACTAGTTTTTGATATTAATTAAGAAACATAAGAATACATACTATTAAAGATATATCCCTTACCAGTAAAGTTTCGAGGTAAAACTGATGGAGAATGATAAAAAAGTTTATAGTTTTACCGTATTGTACAGTCTCTGTATACACTGAGCAAATGGTTGAAAAGCTCCTGGGCTTCTTACTTCTCGTCTACGTCTCCCCATACCGACTTGTCGTTTGTGTCTTTGGGACTTGTCGGAAGTGGAAATCTTATTTACTTCGACATATAACTGTCGAAATAAACTGTTGATATAATTTTTACCCTCCTGGGTAACGTTTGGTCCCGACCAAATTTTACCTTCTGCAATCTGTTGGTAATGATACTGCTTGTAACAGTCATTTTGAATTCTAATGGCGGTTTCATCTGATGGCGTCATGTTGTACGACCTTAATTCATAACATTGTCGTAAGGTGTTTGGGAATGGAGTTGGTTCCAAAAGAGCAGACGATATTTTAAAAAAGATAAGGGATATGAAAAGGAACAAAATAGATTCCCTCCAAATGTTTGCCATCTTCCTAAATGTAAAAAGTTGTATTAATTTTATTTTTAAATATGGTGAAAATCTTAATCATAATATATTTAGTGATTAAATTCTGTTTCGGTTTGGAAAAGTTATACGAAGAAATTTTTTTTATTAAATTTCCTGAAAGGAAACATCAAATTTATGAAGACAAAACTTTTAACCATTTAAAAACCTCAACAAACTCTGATTTTAATCCTTTTAACATAACATATGACCTACTAACCTCTCCCTACTTCGTCAAGGACGCCTCTGAGTAAGCCGAGAGCTAGTGTGGTCTTTTATACTGGTCATAAACTTTAGAAAGTCTCAATTACATTTCTTTCTTAGAATTTTCAACGAAGCGCCAATCAAAAAGTGTGACTCATACATCTGCATCTTCTCAAATTTTTATTATTACTGATCGTTTAGAACTTGTCTCATTAAAGAACAAGATAAATAATTAAATGCGTTAAATTCTTTTTTAAAGTGAAGATGGAGGAAACAAGAAAGATAAACGTAGGTAAGCAAACCCTGAGTCGGCTTGTATTCTGATGTGAGACTCATCAATTCTTGATTTGGTTCTTGGCAAAGCTTTTAGCCAATTAACTCCTTCTGTTGAAAACTTGTTATCCATGTCTGTGTGCCTGTCTTTCTATCTTTCAATGTTTACAATTTTCTCTTGAACTATTATAGCACAATTATATATATATATATATATATATATATATATATATATATATATATATATATATATATATATATATATATATATATATATTGATCAAGCAAATAAAACCTCCTAAAACTATTATAATTCATTGAATTAATACATCAGGATCCTCAAAAACTGTATTTTCATAACTGTCTAAGTACACTTGTCCATTATTATTACAAAAAAGGAGAAAATATATAGAAGAAAATCTGCATGTATCAAACACACCTGGCGAAATTTTTAATGTAGATGGAAAATCAGATTTTGAAAATAGTAACAGTTAAGATAAATGAAAATCTTTCATAGATACACTCGTAAAGTGCGGGCACCAATCTTCTTTTCTTTTCTTTTTTTTTTAAATTTCATAATGTTTTTAGATTTTCATTGTGCACTAGCATGGCCCGGTATTAGCAAAGACAAAAATTAATATCATTGAGTAATTAATGCATTGAATTGACATACGTTAATAAACTATAATAAAAAAAACCTCCTTATGAAAAAACTCATTTTAAATTTTTGTGAACATTGTTACACGAATTTGACGATTTTGCTAAAGAAAATTATTTGTTGAATTTATTTACCACAAGGAAATATTCATCTTTTAACAATTTAATGATCAATCAAAATAATTACTGGGCATGTGTGATCTACTTTACTGGAAATAAGGACAGTTTGCACATTGGGACACGTTTTTACTGTTTTTCGTTTCCAGATTGATAAACTCGGGTTTTGAACGTATTTTGTTGCATAAATCAAAAAGTTGGAAACACGTTCTAACAACTTTCTGGTTCGTCTTCTTAAATATAACAATATGCCATGCAAAATAATTCATAGGAATCTGAATTTTACAAGAAATACAAATGGAATTTCGTTAGATAGCTTAGCAATTTCAAATATTCAATAAAAGTATGAACAGCAAAAAATATAGTGTTATTAATCTGTAACGATAAATACGTGTAACAATCAACAAGTATATAAGAGATCTGTATCAATATTGATGAATCCATCAATTGAAAAACAAGCGTTTAAAAAGATTACTAGTAATTCAGGCATTAGGATAATTTTTTCAATTAAACAAGATGTGTTTGTGAAACACTGATGCCCCCGTATGGCAACTTATAGCGAAGGTTAAACTTTCTCAAATGCAAATCAAAATATGTTGGTGCCCAAAGTAAGGTCTTGTACCGAGGAATATACTTGTAAAATATGAAAGCCCTAGCAGCAACCAAAAAAAAAATTCAAAAGTAATTAATGGTGCCCAAGGAAAGGCCTTCTCACAAGAAATACACATGTGAAATGTGAAAGCCCTAGCACCAGCCATTTAAAAGATATGGCCAAGGTAAAAGGTTTTTTCAAAGTAGGCCAAACTCCAAGGTCAAGGGCTATAGTTGTTGGTATCCAGAGGAAGGTCTTGTCACAAGGATTACACATGTAAAATATGAATGCCCTAGCGTCAACCGTTCAAAAGGTATGACCAATGTTAAAGTTTTCAAAAGTAGGTCACACTGCAAGGTCAAGGTCGAAGGTTCAAAGTTGTTGGTATCCAAAGGAAGGTCTTGTCACAAGGATTACATATGTGAAGTATTAAAGCCCTAGCACTACCAGTTAAAAAGTTATAGTCAAGGTTAAGTTTGGAAAATTTTTGTAAAACTGGGTCAAACTCCAAGGTCAAGGTCAAATATGATATTACCCAAAGAAAGGTCTTGTCACAAGGAATACACATATGAAATATGAAAGCCATAGCTTCAACCATTCAAAAGTTATGAGCAATGTTAAAGTTTTTGCAGACAAACAGACAGACAGACAGACGGACGGACAGGGCAAAAACTATATACCCCCGAATCTTCGGGCTTTTATACTTCACATGTATATTTCTTGTGACAAGACCTTCCTTTGGATACCAACAATTTTGGCATTGACCTTGACCTTGGAATTTTGACCTACTTTTAAAAAATTTTAACATTGGCCATAACATTTGAACGTTTAGTTCTAGGGCTTTCACATTTCACGATCATGTGTATCACTTGGGACAAGACCTTCCCTTGGGCACCATTTGACCTTGACCTTGCTGTTTTAATTACTTTAAAAAAAACTTTAACCTTCGTCATTACTTTTCAACGGTTTGTACTAGGGCTTTCATATTTCACAGGTGTATTCCTCAAGACAAGACCATTCTCTTTGGGTACCAATATTTTTGATTTCTTGACCTGGAGTTTGACTTGCATTTAAGAATCTGTACCTTCGCCATAAGCTGCCATGCGGGGGCATCAGTGTTTCACAAACACATCTTGTTTTTATTTTGTAATTTCATTTTTTTTTATTAAATATGTTATTTAGTTTTCGGTTTTATGTCCCCGTAATCGAAGATTCGGGGGCATATAGTTTTTGCCCTGTCCGTCCTCTGTCTGTCTGTCTGTTTGTCCGCAAAAACTTTAGCCTTGCCCATAACTTTTGATTGGTTAGAGCTATGACTTTCATATTTCACATGTTTATTCCTTATGACAAGACCTTTCTTATGGTACCATCATATTTGACCTTTTGACCTTGACCTTGGAGTTTGACCCACTTTTGCAAAATTTTATGAGACTTCAACCTTGGCCATAACTTTGGAACAGTTAAAGTTTTGGCTTTCAATCTTCACATGTGCATTTCTTGTGACAAGACCTTCCTTTGGATATAAACAACTTTGACCCTTTGACCTTGACCTTGGAGTTTGACCTACTTTAAAAAAAACTTTAACCTTGGCCATAACTTTTGAACAGTTGGAGCTTGTGCTTTCATACTTCGCATGTGTACTCCTTGTAACAAAACCTTTCTTTGAGATGAGTTATGGCCCTTGGCATGGTCGGCAGACATTTCTGGTCACTCCGAGTATTTTGATCTTCTTTGTTTATATTTCCTATTCGAGGGTGCTGTATGCTGCTGAATTACTGTGAGTCATTAATGTGGTTTATATGCTGCAACAAGTGCAACAACAAACTGTGAGTATCACTGTAATCGATTTTGAACGTTGAAAACAACAGACTGTAGCGAAAGTAAACCGGCTGAACACTACTCAGCATGCAGAAGGTACAGAGAAATCTGTCAATACACTTTTCTACACGGTTATATAAGGGTGTAACTCACGAGGAAGTATTAGATGGATTAAAAGAAAACACTGATATAGATATTGAAGATATTAAAGCAATTCAGATTACTGAAAAAGACTGTGTTATTACACTAAAAAAAGAGCAAACAAAAGAAAAACTTTTAATGTCCGGTGTAACGGTAAAAAATCGAACAGTATCATTGTATGAGATTGACAAACAAATAACAAATGTAACAATCAAAGATGCTCCCGTTGAGCTTCCAGACTCCTTCATAGCTACAAACATGATGCAGTATGGGCAGGTAGTTGCGGGCAGCATCAAACATGGCACAATTAAAAACACAGCTATTGAAAACGGCACGCGATACCTGCAAATATTAAACTGTATTCCAACTCTACCTAACAGAACTAAATTTGGAGATCATGAAGTCAGAATTTTCGCAGACAACAATCGCACTCAATGTCCATATTGTGGAAATTCTGATCACCCCTCGTACAAATGTATTAAAAAACCTGTAAACAAACCAATCTGTTACAACTGCAGCAAACAGGGTCATATAGCAAAAGACTGTGAAAACGATCCCGTGTGTAGATATTGTAAGGAACAGGGTCATAGTAAAGAGAACTGTGAGATACTTTCAGAAAAAATGCTAACAAAATATGGTAAATATGCTGCAGAAATTAGCGAAGGCAGAGAGGCCTCACACTACGATTTCAACCAATCCGGATCTGACAACAATGCGGAAGCTGAAAAACAGGACGAAAAGCATGACGAACAGATTGATACTGTAATCTTAGGGGCGTCAAACTGCAAACGAATTCAAAACTTACCGCCAAGTATTTTAAATACTTCGGTCTCCGGATCGTCCTACGAAAACGTTTCAGAATTATTAGAATTTGCAAGAAAAAAATTAGGAGAATCTTCACCTGAAAACGTTATTGTTCACTTGGGGACAAATGACGTAACAAGATGCCGGGATGAAATTGGAGATCTAACAGCCAATGTAATGACGGGACTCAACAAAATTCAAGAAGCCTTCCCCGAAGCGCAAATCGCCGTATGCACTGTCATCCCAAGGAAAGGAAAAAGCGCCGCAATTAAAAAAATGAATGACAATACTTGGCATGTCAATAAATTCATAGAAAAACTTTGTGAAAAAAACGAACGTTTATCGGTTATTGATATATGCAGTTCTTTCATTAACGAAC